TCACCAGTGAAACGGACGCACTTGTGTTGGGAGTGATCAGTCAACTAAAAATATTAGAGCTTAGCGTTGTCGGGTATTTGTGCTCAATGTGTTCCATGCCCAATTCAGAGTGGCGTAAACAGAGAGGTGGCCAACCCTTGACTTGGCAGATGAGTATGAAGGAGATCACCAAACGCCTGCAGCTGGTTATCGTCCTCCTAGTTCCAGAAGCTAACCAGGGTGGGTTGTGTTCCTTCATTCTTTGGCCGAGTTGCCTAATCGTGCGTCCGATGTATTCCGATGCACAGCAGCAAGAGAATGAGTAAACTAACATATTTTGGGCGTGGGCAGGCACTCTATCCTTGAGATTAACCTTTGCAATTGTATGACTGGAAAAAACCTTGCCGAAAACATGTTCGTCAATCCATCTGTGTTCTTATTATAAATGGGAATTTTCGGAATATTACGTACCAACAAAGAGAGGAGTCACTATTGTTGTCAGAAATTCGTGTAGGAGAATAATCCATTGGGGCGGGAAATTTTGTGTGCAAGCTGAATGGGAAACCTAGGCAGTCAGAATTGTGGGCGAGGTTATCAAGTTCAGCAGTGGAACCAGGCCGTTGAATATGTTCGCACGGAGATACGTTGAGCGGCGTAACTGTCACTGGGTGACCGCTGTACGTAACACCAACTTTTTACATTGAAGGAGGGCAATTTTGAGTCGAAGATATCGAAACTCAGATGCCACCCTAGGAACGCAAAGAGACAAGCAAGTGTAGCTATAAACCTCACCAGTGAAACGGACGCACTTGTGTTGGGAGTGATCAGTCAACTAAAAATATTAGAGCTTAGCGTTGTCGGGTATTTGTGCTCAATGTGTTCCATGCCCAATTCAGAGTGGCGTAAACAGAGAGGTGGCCAACCCTTGACTTGGCAGATGAGTATGAAGGAGATCACCAAACGCCTGCATGCTGTCGGTGCTACTCACCTTCCAGGACGAGGACCACGTGATCCTCACTGCCTGGTTGGGAGCACTACAAGATATGGCTGGCAACCGATGTCAGTGGCGTTCTTGTTGTCAGTTTCTGTCCAGATTGCCTGAGTGAGTGTCTGGAGGTACAGGCACCTCGGAATGACTGTGGTAAGCTAGCACTAAGTCCCTGCCCCGTCCACCTTTACTCTTTTCTTAACAATAAGGGTTTCAAATAAATCGTGGTTATACGGCAGTGAAGCATCGGTGTTGAACACTGATGTCATGCTGTCGATGATGATGATGATTCATTTTTACTCCAGTGTTGAAGAGAACAATTGGGACAGAAGTTGACAAGATTTGGTGGACCAATTTGATGGTACCTCCTAAGCTACTGATCTTCCCGAACCAATCTTTAGATCTGCGAGAATAGCAGTGAGGTTTCATCGAGTTGTGTGTGTTTCTTGACTGTTCTTTAAGTCGCTGCTGATCTGTCGCCAGGCTTGGAAATCGACTTGCTCCGTATTTGACTTCGTTTATATGTATATTCCTGTTTGTTTGATCAGCGAGCCTTAAAGTGACGACCCATGTAATACTCGTATAAGTTGAGCAGTCGCGGTTATCTGGATTTAGAATAAATAGGCAGTTGTGCGGTTCGGCCACCAAAAATCCTTCAACCAATAAATCTACTCAGTCAAAGTTGACTCAGGTAACCCGGCGGCGATGACTGGCCATCGCCGTATAGACCGAATCGGAGAAAACCGCTGCCAACTTTAGTACCGCATACGGGTTTGACCTGGGTTTGAATCGACTGTTTAAGCAGTAAGGTCACCCGGCGTACCTGGAGCAAACACCATTGGGTCGAACTGTCTGGTTGTTTCCGTGTGGTCTTGTGACCAATAACTCCTGACACATTTAGGCGTGTTAACTATGCGACAAAGTTTCAACAGCCATCAGTTTGTAGTCAAGGTGAACTAAACCACGGAGTACTGCAGAATGCCGTTCAGTTGTGGTTTGCATTGGACTTAGTATTAATGTTGGCAAACATTTTACCTGAAGCGAACATCAGTTTGTTCAACCCTCGATTTCTTTCCATTTGAGCCTGCAAGGGACTCGTCTTGACGGTGAACCTTTGAGTGTCAAGCTACAACGGTGTTAGATGTGACTCTATGTTACTACCGTTGTACAGACCAGAGTGATTACTGACTGACTTTAGTTCGTTAAGTGAATGTGTATTGAGAACGTCTTATGAGTGACGGGTTTCACCGGGTGACCTTTTATATACGCGACGGATCTTAACTCTTAGTGTTGTTTCCATTTGATTAAGCAAGTGAGGGCCTGAGTTGGATCGCTCGTGTTCAACTCCCGGCCTTAATCCGTCGGATGTTTACGGGATATCGGAAGTTCTGTTGTTCGCATACGTGACTCGGCAAAACAGTGTGTGATATTACCTATCCTATGCAATTGCCCATTGGGTATGTGATACTCAGGTCAGCCCACCGTGTCGTTCAACTTAGGATGAGCTGTTGGCTATTCGTGGGCTCAACTTCAGCCACTGAAGGTGTCGGTCGGGTCACCCGCTCTCTCTCTCCCTCTCTCTCTCTCTCTCTCTCTCTCTCTTTCTGTCCCATTTCTTTCTTTCCATTAATAAGGCTTTATAAAAATAAATTGAAATGGTTCTACGATAGCGAGGCACCAGCGTTCTCATCTGGTCTTGCTGTCGATGATGATGACGACACAACTTTTACCTGAATAACTAATCCACGCCACTCGTCGGTGTAGGACAGTAAAATGTTAGTAAACTGTCTCCTCAAAAGGGCACTTTCTTGGCACGCATAAGCAGTGGCTTTTTTCGAATATCTCCGCAAAACAATGATAAATTCTTCAGCTGTAACATCATTTCGACGCCTCGCTGTCATGCCACCCGAAGGAAGCATGAGGGCGGGATATTACCAGGTTACCCAAGCCTTGACAGAAGTTGAAATGCGGAGGTCGGGTCCGAACCACGGACCTCCCGGTCAATAAATTAGCGCTCTAACCACAGAGCCATCTTGCACCGCACGGCTTTGGTACATACAAATAAGGGACGCGAACAAACTATTTTCAGTGGCTTACTCCAAACAAAATTTCTCCAGTTGATAATAGTTGCATTGAATAATGCGGTTTGTGGAAGGATTTTATTGGCTGACGTTATCGACCGATTATACTGCAGTTTGCTCCACCTTCAAACCCTTACTTATTATTATTATTATTATTATTATTATTATTATTGTATTGTGCGTATTTGTCTAACGACATCATACCCAATTTATATGGTATGTTTTCCAAGTTATTGTGGGCATATTTACCAGACGCAATAAGGATCTTTTGATTCCTCTAAAGCGAGCGCCCATCCAAAAGATGTACGTTTTCTATCTGGTCTAAATAGTGTGCTCTCTTGTGTTGAGGACGACTGTACTTTTAAAAGAAAGGCACAATAAATTCACATTCTCATGGTATTTGATATAATATTACTGAAAGGACCAAAATATTCTGTAAAGTATCATCAACAAAACTCGTAAAGTCTGATTTGCAACGTGTTTTTCAGTCTTGCGAGTCAATATTGAGCCATATGAACTGCTCACTTCACTGCCGCCAAGTTCTCTACATGCTCAGCTGTATTTTTTAGCTGCCGATTTCCCCGATTACAGCTGAGACAGTCTTGTTTTACATCTACCAGTTTATCCGACGCACTGTCTCTCTGAGCTGTCCTCATCTTCGATAACCAAACGGAGTCGGCTGGTTAACTGCTCCGTTTACCGGTCTTGCGAACTTATCAGTGTGAAAATCGAGGGAATTCAGTGCTTTTACTTATGTTCAACAAAGTATTATCCCCAAAAATCTTAAGCACTCCTGTTTGATGGGGGAGGTGATGTGTTACCTAAGCACCAGGGAGGCAGATCCAGTCTGCCATCAATTCTCACCAGAGTCATTGAGCATCATTGTCCCGAATAACTATAAGCAGCAAATATGGAAGGATTGATGCACAGTAATTTACCTGACCATATAAATCTGAGTTCTATGAGCCCGTTAGTTAATAAACCTAATCGATTAGGCCGGGGTACGGAACCAAGGAGGTTGCGGTATGATTAAACTGGGGGTATAGTCTAGCGGATGGCGGAGCTTGAATTCCCTTCAGTGCTAACTTAGGGTAGCTAAGCATGCATTTTTCTGAAATCTAACGACTCTTGAGAGTAGATAATTCCATAAGAACATTTTCCGGGGCGAGGTGGCTCAAGTAGTTAGAGCGTGAATTTACTGACCGGAAGGTCCGTGGTTCAAACCCGACCCCTACCTCTCGGCTTCTGTCTAGGCTTGGGTAACCTGGCGGTATCCCAGACCTCGTGCTTCCTTCGGGTGGCATGGTAGCTAGGCGCTAAAAAGGTGTTACAGCTGAGCGAACGATATTTTCTATCCAATGGGCTGTATGTCACTTGTTTATCAAAAGAACTATGCCGGTTTTTCAGTGTTTGTTAGTATGATGAACCTATTTTCCGTCAACCGTAAGTCGAGAGAGCTCAGAATCGTGTACTAGAGATAGTGAATGTGCATAGAGATGCATCGAGAGTTGAGACATTTTCACTGTCAACTCCAAGCAGATTCGATGAGAACCAGCTAACTAACTGGGACCACCATTTGAGGCGAGCTTTCTCATAAACAGACCAATGTTGTTTTCGTTCAACAACCTTCTAGTCCCGATATTCCATGCGTTAAAAGCAGTCGTCTGAACCGGTCGATATTGTGTTTTCCTGATGCCCAGTTTTATTCTCCTCCAAGTAGTTACCGACACAGTCGGTTGTGTGTGGCGTGCATGTGACCTTTCCATCAATTCCTTGTTTATCCTTGAGCCAAATGCCCATTTTGATGACATTCTGCTGTCTCTGTTTATGCACGTCCACAATGCTGCTGCCTGTGGTCAAGCACACCCGTGCATTGTTATTGATCGGGCGATCGTTTAGTCTTGTCAGTACGTCGCTGTCACATTTCCTCCTGCTCCTCTCCCATAATCTAGGTTTCTTCTGGCAGTTGACCGACTTGCATTTGGACCTGCGATATAACCTAACACAGGATTGTCAGGGTCGGTACGGTGACCCGAAATGTGATTCACCCCTGGATTTAGTCCAGTCAGCTATCAGTGTCACAAAGACTTTGCCTATGTTTGAATCCGACGATCGTCAGCTTCCGGACTTCGTGATTTGGAGCGGGTATGTCCCCTGTGTGTGCCCAGCGTGTCCACTTGCATTCTGATGAGTCTCTCTGTTACGTTTCTTTTCCGCAGCCAGTAGTACATGACTTTTTTCAAACGTTTGTGTTGACTGTGATGGGCTGTACATGGTTGAACCGGCCCAGGTGAGTGGAGTTCAAATCTGTCGACCTCAGTACGATCCACACCACTTAGAAGGTCTATTGCTATCCGTAGTGTCATGTCCACGCACGTGCCAGAAAGATTGTTCGGGTACAGAATTTCGTTCCCAGTTTTGAATTTCAGAGTTGTTTTTTTCATCGGACTGATAGTGACCCCGTTTGTGAATTCCCCTGGAAATTCACACGTTGGGCCTCATTCGCAGCTCGTTCGTATCAGTTTACCTGGGTTCATATTCACCTTGCCTATCCGGGTACAGTCATTCTGTTTAGTCCACATCGAAGCGAGAAGCACTGAATACAAGTTTCGTTCTTGTTGGAGATCATCAACAGTGCTTATCCTTGGCGCCCGAACCGCGGTTTGAACGCCGACCATCTTGAATGCGTGACATGGTCTCTGCGGATGGATGATCTGATGCGTCTCTGGGTTTTTGACCACCAGAGTCTCAGAAGTGTTACACATGTCGGGTGGCGTCAACGAATCGGCACAGGTGGTTGATTGTGCAGCCGGTACGTCGGTCGCGGAAAGCATCCAGCCTCATTAACCGAGGTAGCTCAGTCATGTGCTACACATTGCAAAACATAGTCTATCGAGACAAATGTTGTCCTCCGTGCCTGTCTCGAAATGGCGCCAACCGCGGGGTGGACAACGCATGACTTGGTAAAAGAGCGTTAAGTAGATTATAAAGAGTTTAGTTGATGAAGTCTCCGTGATCCCGCCTGTGCTTGGCTGAAGATATGGCAAGAAATGGTGACTGTTCGATATCGATGGTGTTCGCCTTGTCCAGATTGTCTGGATAGACCAGCACCAGGTTTTCTCCCTCATCCGCTCTTTTCTCTTCTCTAAGGACTTAATTACAGCAGTGAACCATTAGTGTCAACACTGATGTTGCTGTCTCTGATGATGCTGATGCAAAGCGAGCGTGTTGCCGGCAACACACGCTTGAAGCCACTGAATTATCACGTCTGAACAGGCAAACATCTTAGCATTCGAGCGATGTGAGTGTCGTACCCGGTGCCGGAAACTGGGTCTGTGCACTTCAGGATAGTTTTAGGTTGCGGAGTTTGCATTCATGTCGTGCTCGTAGTGATGCGCCAGGACAGGTGAAGGACTTTCCACACCACAGTGATTCCAAAAATACGGCAACTTTATGCAACTAGTTCAGGATGAACCAGAACAACGTATAGTACTCTGGTGCTTTAAGGTATCTGTGATAAACGGGTGCTTCTCAGTTAAGAACACGGGGCAGTTCATGGACAAGGGATTTTTATCTGAGTTTTCATCCTTAAGCTCGGCTGGGGCTGTGGCCGCACTGCCGGACAATGGAAGATAGTGCTGACGTGGATGTTGTTCACTGAATGAACAGTCGTGTTTTAGCTACACACGTAACAAACGTCATACCACTGGTCTCGTGTTTGGGGAATAAAAGTGCGACTTCGAAATGGGGGATGAAAAATCGGGATTTACCTATTGGTCTCATTTTTGTCGTCATTTTGGCCAAAGGACGAACATTTATCCTGATACAGGCTAATTTCAGTGATAAAAATTCGTTCAGCTGTAGCACCCTTTCGGTGCCTAACTGCCATGCCACCCGAAGGTTGCACGAGGGCTGGGACACTGTCAGTTCGCCCAAACCTAGACAGGGGAAGTCGAGTGGCAGAGGTCGGGTTCGAACCACGGACCTTCCGGTCAGTAAATTCGCGTTCTAGCCACTTGGGCCATCTCGCCCCCCATAAATTGCTAATTTCAGTGACTGAGATGCCAATCAGCTGATCGCATGCTGCTTTTTTTGGCAGCTGACGCGCGATCCTTAGCTGTAGTCACTTTGTCAGACGTTCTCTCTCGAGTTAACCTTGTGGCTTTCTTTCGATCTGTTTTTGAAGTCAGTCCAAATATCATGAGTGAAAAAAATCGGCCTGCGAATACCCTATTTTTCAACAAGGAGAGAAAAGCGATTGTAATGAAACTGATAAGCGCGAGAATAAGCAAGAATACCGAAAACACTGGTATTTTTCACGCAAAAGCGTTCAACATTTCACATTGCTGAAGAGCTTCACGAGTAATTTTCTCAAAGCCGTCAATGTTTATGAAACGGAAGCAATAAAAAGTCTGTCTGATGTCAAACGAGCGCTGCATTTTACCGTTCCCATGCGGACACCTTCCCCTCCCATGGACTCCATACTTTCGCACTGCAGATACCAGAGTAATTTGGCAAGTTATCGAGTCCGCAACTGCTTATGGTTCAGTTGTTTCAAACATCACAGATGATCTTAAAGAACTAGCGAGTCAAATGCAGTCAAACACAGAATCAGCATGTGACAAATCTCCTAATGACTTTTGAATAAGGTGCCCTTCCTACCCCTCCAAGGGAGAAACCTGTCGACAAGGATAAACCCTTAACGAGACCGCGAAAGATTCACTCGGGATTCGATTCCGATCCACGTAGAGAGAAGGCAACTGTCAAGAGAGACAAAACTTTCCTTCTTTATGTTTTTCTCTTTCAGGAGGGTATCAGTGTTGTAGTATCTTACCTCACAGTGGCGATCACGTCTCAGTACGGGGGAAGGATTCGACAGTCCGTATTAATATCTCCTCCGGAAAAACATACAACAGAAATCTACGGTAGGCATCATCCTCTGTTGGAAAACTAAGCTTTCATTATGTAACTCGTTGTTATCACTGTGATCGTTTTTGACTCGTGATTTTACGGCCCTCGGATCCAGGGTGTTCTGTTTGATTTGTGGAATAAATCTGACGTGATTAGCCCCGGACGAAATTGAAGAGGTTGCACTACCCGGAACTTGGGGTTACTCTCTCTCCTTTGGTATGCACTTTGCACCTACAAAGTGTAAGGTCATGCTTGTGGACGTGCAGTCACTGAACACGCCACTTACGATCCAGTGAGAGGCACTGGAAGTTGTGGAGCGTTTTACGTATCTTGGAAGTTGTATTAGTTCTGACTGTAGTGTGACAGACGAGGTGAATGCACGAATCTGCAAGGCTCGGGCCGCGTTTGCTAACTTGAGACACCTATGGCGTCAGAATGGTTTATCCCTGAATCTGAAGGGACGTGTGTATCAAGCTACAGTACNACGAAACGCTTGGGTGCTGTCGGTGCTACTCGCCTTCCAGGATGGGGACCGCGTGATCCTCACTGTGCCTGGTTGGAGACACTACAAGATATGGCTGCCAACCGATGTCAGTGGCGTTCTTGTTGTCAGTTTCTATCCAGATTGTCTGAGTGAATGTCTGGAGGTGTAGGCACCTCGGAATGATTGTGTTAAGCTAGCACTAAGTCCCTCCCCCATCCACCTTTATACTTTTCTTTACAATAAGGCTTTCAAATAAGTCATGGTTGTACGGCAGTGAGGCATCGGTGTTGAACACTGATGTCATGCTGTCGATGATGATGATGATGATGAATTAGTAGGTACTGAACACTTTCCAACGCACTTCTCTCTCCCTTGGATTCGACAGCTCATCAGAGTCAGACAGAGTCTGCTCCCCACTCCCGTAAACGATCGATGCATCACAATCACAATGTCCTTCGTGACCGGGCGTAGCTTGCTCGGTCAGCAGTCGTTACTGCTATGCTATCTCAGGCATTAGCAGCTACTACGAGATGGCTCAAGTGGTTAGAGCGTGAGTTTACTGACAGGGAGTTCCGCGGTTCGAACCCGACCTTTGCCTCTCAACTTCCCCTGTCTAGGCTTGGGCAACCTGGCAGTGTCCCAGCCCTCGTGCTCCCTTCTTGTGGCATGATAGTTAGGCACCGAAAGGATGTTACAGCTGAGAGGTTTACTGCGAAATTGCAGCAGTTCTTGTGGACTCTAACCTCAATTATCGCGACAGTGGATAAGACTGACATAGCGAATTTACATTTCGACGCGGCCACTTTTGCAGTTCCCATCGATTTTGCTCATCTTAACTACACTGCACTGCTTTCGATATTGTGGCATCCAACGGGTCTGACTATCAACCAGTGAGCGCATTTTGCCCGAGATTCTTCTAGCTTTCGCTATATCAGCAAAGGTTGTGTCGATAGATGTCATGGGATTAGTTGAATATGGTCGATAAGTCAAACACAGGTTCTCCGAAGTAGCAATCAACAAGATAAAATATGTTGGAAAATGGCAGTTTTCGACGACCATTGACGGCAAATGAAGGTGTGATGGACGAGATGGGATTTCGGAAAATGCGCTATCCAACTTCCCGAGCCATTTTGTGTCGCTCTTCACAGACCGAAACTTGGAACCGACTTGAAAAGACCAGTTGAGGAGTTTTTTTTTTCCTCCCGTCAATATGCGGCTCAATTTATCCCCCATTATCTAGGCAACATCGCTTTTTCCTTGACCTTGTCTTTATCACGTGAATTCACTTAGGTACATGCGCGTTAACTCAGTTTGTCTCGTGACCTGCACGTGATTAGTCCAGAGGTTTTTCACCCCATTTGTCGTAAAGTACATCGTGAGGCGCACTATTTTTTCACAAAACAGCTGTTCTGTTTACTTACGGTCACGACACTCGCACGTTAAATTTGGCTTCTGTCCATGTTGTTAAGAGCACGTGACAATCTAGGGGGTGGTATTCACTCACAAAAATCACAGGAAGGCGCTCATTGTAGATCACGATGTCTCCTCGAGAAATATAATACTGATAATGTTTTTACGACATTCCCACCTCGAGCCAATGGATGGTGCGGTTTTAGGCTGTCAATTGTTGTATGCCATTAAAGGAAATTTTCGTGGAGAAAAATGACCTTGAAACCGAAAATAGTGCAGAGCATAGTTATGGGACCACATTGTGGCACTTTTCTATGGAGAGATACTTCACTGGTGTAATTCGGCCAGTTGGATCTACTTGTACCTAAGGTCACTATCTGGATGACCTACCGATTGAGAATACTTCATTCTCATTTCAGCACCGTCAATTTTTGCACTTTTTATACAATTTGCCTAACGGTAATATATCATGCTCACATATCCGGATGAAGTCTGCGCTGGCGACTAACTCCAAGGAATCTCGTCACAAGCGCACGCCTACTCGGCTAACAGACGATCCCTTCTAGAGATGGACCAAGTGGCTAGAACGCGAATTTACTGACCGGAAGGTCCGTGGTTCGAACCCGACCTCTGCCACTCGACTTCCCCTGTCTAGGTTTGGGCGAACTGACAGTATCCCAGCCCTCGTGCAACCTTCGGGTGGCATGGCAGTTAGGCACCGAAAGGGTGCTAAATCCGAACGATTTTTTTCCAGTTTGCACCAGTTTGTTGGTTGATGTACCTCGGATGCCTAAATTTCACAGAAACATCCGGAACATTCGGCCTCCTAGTGTTTCTCAGTGGTTCCTAATTGTTGACAAGCTAGCCAGTCGTACACCTTGATAACATGGAACTTTTTCTAGGAGATATCACTGCACCGCGTTCATCTGTGGCGAGAAGTACTTTGCCCCCTCGGTACTTCTGCAACAAGCGCGTTTCGTACTATCTTCACTCGACTGTTTGACAGCAGTTCCACACGTTGGACTGGTAGTATCATCCATCATGCCCTTACTACCAGCCAGCCGTCACCTGACTTGTCAATTCTACCGCTTATTCGCATTTATGTTGTGACGTATGGTGCATATAGGGGCTTTGTGTCTTTATAAACACTCGGAATTCGGATGCCGGTGGTTCCTGAAACTGTATTGTCCAGGCTGATGTTGATTGTCTGTACGTGCCACCAGAACAACTGGATAAATCACAGCTGAACGTCGTGCATGAACCGTCCCGACATCCACTAATTCATTACGATATAACCGAATTAAAGTAAGCTAGCCAACGTTTGTTGGCTTATGATCATCATCATCATCATTGTCAGCTGTAATAACCGCGTACTCGTCGTACAGTCGTTGTAGCTGCCGCAGGTTCGTTCGTCGATGATTTCGGCTTATGATCAGCTACGATAAAAAGCTCAAAATGACGAAGGAAGTGTATGCCTGCAATCCGAATCCAGTGAGTTTGTCCAAACCGACGGGAACTTAGCTTTTCATAATGAGGTAGTAAGGATATCAACAAGAAATTGTGTGACCCATGGACTTCAGCTCCTGCAATGCTTTCATGCGGATATTAGAATGCACGGGTTTATGAGGTGTGACGAAGATCTTGGTCGATGAGTTTTCAGCAACCGTATGAGCAGTGAATCACGTCTACTTCGGTCACTGCTTCACGTGAGGAGAGCTCAGCCGATGGAATCGAACACTCCTTCAAACTTCTTCTTTTACATGCTGGTGTTCTAGGTATCGCAGATGCATGCACTACTGGTAGGCTCTAATGAAGGCGGAAGTCGAGACCAGTGCTTCCCCCTTGGTTTGGACTCACCAGAATAACTGCTCCAGGACAGGTTGAGAAATGTTCAAACCAGAGTGGCGTTACTGTGTATTCTACAATTCCCGCACCCAATTACAATTAACTAAAAATTGTTCAGTAGGTTTGAGGTACCCATGACGCTACTTGACTGTGGAGCACTGTATGGCTGTTTCATCTTCATTGGGAATCATCAACAGTGAACATAATGAAACTCCAGGGAGTTTCGAACCGGTGACCACGTGATGCGGACTCCGTGACTGCGGGATGAGTGGTGCTATATCCTGTCTGAGTGCGAGTCAGATCGCTGATAAGCTGATCGTGTTCAAACTGCTGACCAAGAGGTCGCGGGTTCGAGCTTCCTGGAATTTTGTGAAGCACACTGTTGGTGATCCCCGAGATACGCAGAACAGCTGTGCATACTTCTCGGCCTTTCAGCTTAGATGGCTCCAACTACAAGACGAACTCTTAGTTGAAAGTTTCCAAATTTCTACATACTACCAAAAATCTATAAATAGCTCCGAAGAATGAATCTTTCATGTGGGTAGTCCTCTCTCAATGAACACGTGAATCCCTGAGATGCATTCCGTTACTGAAGACCGATTGGGATACACTACCACCAAACTAATACTTGTCATTGAAAGCACCAGATGAGTATCGCATGATACGAAACTCCAAACTCCTCGGTTTCTAAGGACAACCGAATTACGTAGAATAGGACGGTATTTGATGTAATCACAGATAGATGTGAATATTTTGTGGTCTAGGTGTAATTCCCACCGACCTCCATCCGTCGACGCATATGGGAGCATGATGCTTTTAGGCTCATCTGCCTTGTGTGCCGACCAATTTTTTGTTTCGTCCATGGTAACTTGTGTATTCACACACTGTGGTATAATGTGTGTACCTAAACCACTGATGTTTTTAGCAGCCAACGGGGGCGGTTCGGTGGGTTGACGTCCCTCTTGGAATTCCCCTTTATCTTCTCAGCCTGGAGGGTCTAGACGTTTGTGTCGGTGTACTGCATGAATGGCATAGAAATACAGGTCTTAGTGAGGCTACACTGGCGCCTCATCGTAGCCTCACCTTCGTAGCCATGTCTTTTTTGTACGTGGTGACAAAGTTTCTCAATAATGTGCCATACGAGCCGATAAACAGTTTCCACGGGACGGTACAGATCGAAACGGAACTCTAGTTCGGTTAAGAGTACGTAGCACTGTGTGGATATGTTATCTTAAACAAGTATAATATCGGTCGGGGCTGTTTGAATTCCGCCTTTGAATAGCATGGGTTTTTTGGTATACATCACCAATTGGTGTACTTTCGTGTTCCACCCTACTGTCTACGGGGACATATGGACTTCTTCGAATCAGAATATTTTGCTATCCAACCTGTGTTTTGTCTATCAGTATTTATTGCGATTCTTCGCTTGGCCCCCCATCTATCGCGCTGCTGAGAAACAAAAAAAGAAGGATTAACTTGTTAAAAAGCTCAGTTAAAGTGGTGGATGCGACTCATCAGCTTTTCGGATGTTACCCCCTGGTTACCGCGGGGTCGAAGCAACATGAGCTACCAACCAACATCCTGTTTTCCCATCTTAATTTCAGTGATAACGGTCCTCATGCCCATCATTTCACAAGAGATCAACTCTACCAAACTATTCAGGTAGTCAGTGACCGAATGCAACAGGTGTTCAGAACTGACAAGGTCTACGTACTCCCTGTGCTCGGCAATCATGACGTCACTCCTGCCAATCACATGTCACCCGACCCTCTTGATGCGGATCGGCTGGCATGGTGCCACAATCTGAGTAGTAATCCCCTTCTGTGGGGCCCTTGGATTCACCTGGCCAATAGGAGTTCCTTTATCAACCCTGATCGATCGATTCAACGCGATTTACCATCCCCACTTCCACCACCGGCTAATTTTTCACGAGGTTTGTTTGCTTGTTTTTCACCTAGCTTTTTTTGCCATAATGGACATTGTCATCCTACCTTTTCTTCTGCCGCACCCATATCGGTCGTTTGAGGATGATATGCATCTCTGTCCAGCCAGCAAGCTTGCGTAACAACCTTCATGGTATTCGGCTCGATGGGATCTTCCACCCGTCCCATACCCCGTGCTTCCCTCGGGTGGCATGGTAGCTATGCACCGAAAGGGGTTTGACAGCAAAACTTGTACGTGGCAGATAATCAGCGGTGTTGTAACTGATTACTCGAGAGCGAAATGTGTAACGCAAAACGAAAGTTAGGAAAGTATCCAATGAATTAACAGGGAGGTGAACTACAAGACAACATGAATCGCTGGTGGGCCAATCAGAATAAGGAAATGTTGGACATAGTAAGCTATCTAGTGGGCTAATTAAACACAGGTCTATGGGGAGTTGCCTCCACTTCAGTGTATAATTTTGTGGCACAGCACCGACGAGTGAGGATTTTTTGACCCTTAGAATATGTCGTGGTCCATTTTATTACATTCCAACCAGTGCCTACGAACCCAAACCTAGAGACACTTAAACCAGACATCGTCCTTCCAACAGCAGTATGCATACCGATCGCTGTGCCGTCATCAATTTGTGCGTGCTCTGGTTACGCACGCGTAGTTTGTTTACGTCGGCTCCGTACAACTCAGCTGACGAACGAAACCGATCCGCGGACCCAGCGATCTTTGCGTCAACCTCGTGACCTTAGCAGCCCAACCGCCATATTGTCTGGGTCACCACATCCGCTTGTCGCATATCCATACGGTACACCATTCACGCGTTACCGCTGGTCCCGTATACATCAGACTCGTGTGTGTGTGTGTGCACAACTCCGCTAGTTGACAACACATTCCGTGTGCGTTCGGCCCACGTGCACCTCGTTCCTCATTCGTATTCATGTCTGGCCAATCCCTGAATTTGTTTGTCATGTCTAGTCAAGGTAGACATCGTGGTCACGTCGGACCGTCTTTTTAGGGTGTCACAACAGTGATTGTTTACCGGTGAGAAGCCGACAACTGCTATTTTGTTGACCGTCTTCGCACTGACCCTTGGTTATTTTGTTTCCAAACCGACTGATGTCGCTGTCTGTCATGCACTCCAGATGCAGCTTCCATAAAACTGCGGACATGTAGCTGTTGTTGAGGCAATCCAGTTAGGTATTTCCACTGGTTGATTTTTTCCGCAAGGAGATCTGCTAGTGGCATAGATATTTTCGGGACGAAAAGGCCGAAGTGGTAAGAGCGCGAATTTACTGACCGGAAGGTCCGTGGTTCGAATCCGACCTCTGCCTCTCGACTTCCCCTGTCTAGGCTCGGGCAACCTGACAGTATCCCAGCCCTCGTGCCTCCTATGGATGGCATGGCATTTAGCCGCCGAAAGGGTGCTAAAGTTGAACGATTTTTTATGGATATTTTCTTATCTTCATCCCGGTTTATGTTCCAGTCAAGTAGGTTTATTGATAATGTGGGAAGATATGAAAATTTTTAATGTGGATTTCTTCCTGTAAGTGAAGCCAGTGTATGCTGAAGAGCCGGGAATCACCGTACAGCCGTTTCATCCTCATTAGGGATCATCAACATTGCGTATATCCTGAAACTACAGGGGCTTCTGGGCCCACAACCTTGTGGAGAATAGTTTGAACACTTGACCACTGGGTCATAATAATGGCTGATCAGCAGGTGCCTAGCCAGTCTACAGCGCCACTCATGCTTCTGAGCTTTACAGCAGAGGACGAAATCCCAATTGAACATTCCTAAATCTCCTTATACTACCAACAAACTATGAGTAGCTCAGGAAGGACAATTTACAGGACGATCGAATCGTCCGTCTGAGAAGTCGTCACTCGAAGAGCCAGTCAACACGTGTGACTGCGTGATGTGGATTCCTCGACTGAAGAATGAGTGGCGCTATATCCTGTCTGAGTGCGAGTTGATCACACTGCTGGTCGACCATTCGTGGCCCAATGATTGCACTCAATTGGTTAACCAGGAGGTCGCGGGTCCGATCTCCTTGGAGTTTCGTGAGATACACACTGTTGAAGACTCCCGACGAGGATGAAACAGTTGTACGGTGTCCTCCGGCTTTTCAGCACAGTTCAGCTTATTTTACAGGTCAAAAGCTCCATTGATATTGGACTTCTCTGCTACCTAGGATAGGTATGTACACAGAACAACCGCTGTGTCTACATTATAGAGCGAAGAAACCCACTGGAATAGCAAACTATTGGATTCGGATAACTTTTTACTGGACTACTTTAGCAGTCACAACGAAAGCGTGTGCTAAACTGAGCGAAAATTTACTGTCCACATGTGTAGCTCGTGCACAGGTCGATTTGCTTATTGCATGGATGGGCTTGACTTTGCTAGATGAAGTTACTGACGCCTGTTTCTCAACAGACATACGTTATCTGAGAGAATAATCATGGTTGTGTCATCTCAATTTATCCCTGAATCCCACACAGGCTGTTTCTTCTCCCACTTGTTGCACCTACCAACCTCTGACCTCCTTCTCGTCAGTGTGAATGGACTAATTTGGTATCGAGAAAATCCATTGCTCGTTCATGCGAGTCCGGATCCTCTGCAACAGTTTGACTGGTTGAATGCCACATTCGCTTGGGCAAGGAGTTCAAAATGCAAAGTAAGCGATGTTCGCGTTCTCCCGTCCGTTTCTGTTCGAACCGATGACTTCAAAAGGTCTCCGAACTCCCACATCCCATGTTTGTATTTTTGTGCATACCCCAAGACTTTGGCTCCGTCACAAAGAGACTGGATCTTACCGTGGTGTGACGGTTTGCGAACCTCAGCGATCCATTGAGCTGTACTGGCTAGTGACTTTCACAGTCTCATTCCAGGTTGGTTAATGATTAGGGGTCTGACAAACACAGTCTCCTGGCCCTCCAGGTTGGGGGTTGGAACATGTGGCGACTTGTTCCGTAGAAATGGTAATGCATTTCCCGCCAAACACCGCTGCCTTTCGGTTAGGCTTTTTAGCCAAAGGCTTCGGTTGAGGACCCTAATCATCCTTCTGTCTATGTGTGGGCGCCCTGACAGTATCCCAGCCCTCGTACAACCATGACATTCACAAGTTTATGGCAGTGGAGCATCGGTGTTGAACACTGATGTCATGCTATCGATGATGATGATGACTTTGGCTACACGAGTTCCTGGGGCTGTGTTTAAGTCAGCCACATACGCACTGTCGGTTTTAGGCAGCCGCTTACTAAGAAGGTTCGGTGTAGTAGCAAATGGCACCGTAGCCTCCAGGTAAAATTAGTCCCAAATCGAGTGAGCCGAATCGATCAAGAAACAGACTTAGAGGTCTCTCAGAGCCTAGTTGCTTTCTATGCCTCAATTCGGTTTTCTTTTCAAAGAAATCATCCAGTAGGAAAGTTTTTAATTGATTTTATTCCGTTGGTTCTGCGGCATGTCGTCTGGATGTGTTTGAGAATCTGGCTCATTTGCTATGCACTCCGCTTTTTTGATGATATCTTCCTAATCGATGCGTTTGACCCCTTGTGTGTGTGACATGCTTCAAAGTGCACAAAACCCGTGTCCCAAACAGAAAATGCATCAGTTTGCTGAACCTATCATTAACTTTTCCGATTGTCGGGGTTCTGGTCAGTTGCACTTCTTTTCCAGGTTTACCAATCCAATCCAAAGTGCCTCTGAATTTTGGTCAGTGTTTCACCAGTGCCACCATAAAATGACCACCCCTATTGGTGTACATCGCCTTTCCTCGTTTCAGATTCTGCTCGTCAGTCACTTCCCACCGGGTGCGAGTGAGAACACTCCGCGTCGGTTTAAATTCCTACAGTCCGGATTCAACAAGCATTTTGTTCAACTGCTCCAGGCTAATGCTGATGTTCTCATGGCCGGTTTGTTTGCTCATACTCACGTCGACTCCTTCCGGGTTTTATCTGACCAGACAGGTGAGTGGTGTGTTCAACTAAAAAGTAATAATAATCGTTTCGTTGCAACGCCCTTTCGATGCCTGGCCGCCGAAGGAAGCACGATGGCTGAGGTACTGTCAGGTTGCCTAATCCTAGACAGGAGCAGTCAAGATGCTGAGGTTTTGGTTAGAACCACGGACTTTCCGGTCAGTAATTTCGGGCCTTGACCACTGAACTATCCCGAGCTCAGCTTGAGTCGTAATCAGTCAGTTATTTCAAACTTGGGTGTCTTGTTGATTAGCTGCTGTACACAGTTGAATGCGTCGCTATATTTCGTTCTAGTTTGGGTCTTCGTCGGTGACTATTTCTTATCGTCGCAGTTTTCTTCGTACTCGCTGTCACCAGTTGACGTGGAACTTAGACATTTCCTTGTCCTCCGTCCTCCTACGAGTAATACATGTGCCTTACAGTGGGGATAACTGACAGTCAGATGACACAGCGACGTTTGCTTGTGTGGTGGGAAGAGACATGGGTGGACACCGAACTGTGCGGGCAAATGATACTTTTCGGTTACTCAGGCCGAGGAAGCGGGTTTGGTTGTGCTACCCTAACTTTAGTCTTTGACTCAAAAGTTTGACCCACAAAGGAGTCGGAAAATATAGGGTTTTGTTCGGGGACCCCGCTATTAGCCTCTGACTCGAAAGCCTGACCCGCGAGGCAGAAGTTAGTAGAGTTTTCTTTGGTGGCCCTTCCCCGAGCTGATGATTCAATTGTTTGACCTTCTCGGCTGCAGCAGGTTAGCCTAACCCGAGGGCGTAGAGAGTAATGCATTACTGTCCCACTCCTGGTGTGGCTGCTCCCAGCAGGTGCTTTTGAGAAGCACCGGACTCTTTGGCTTCAAAAGTATTTCGGCCGTATTGCATAATGCGCCGGTGGTCACGGCCAACCGTTGAGTGATTAGAGTCTAGTTTTTAGGCCGTCATTTTCTAACCCGTTCGGGCGAAGGCAGCATCACTGTTTCCGGGAATATGGATATGCTGGTCGGCTGGGGGAAACACCTTACTGCCTTCCACCTCCTATCGCGGAGGACAGCACAACTTTACCCCCAGACCGCTTCGTATCACGATTACTCGTAGTACGGGGTCTCGTTGTTCTTAGTCTGACTGCTCTCCTTTGGCCTTCCTGAAATGTTTGCACTTTGTGGAACGAAGCTCCAGCTAGTGTAGCCCGCAGGATTATTGCGAGCCTCTGACTCGAAAGCCTGACCCGCGAGGCAGAAGTTAGTAGAGTTTTCTTTGGTGGCCCTTCCCCGAGCTGATGATTCAATTGTTTGACCTTCTCGGCTGCAGCAGGTTAGCCTAACCCGAGGGCGTAGAGAGTAATGCATTACTGTCCCACTCCTGGTGTGGCTGCTCCCAGCAGGTGCTTTTGAGTAGCACCGGACTCTTTGCCTTCAAAAGTATTTCGGCCGTATTGCATAATGCGCCGGTGGTCACGGCCGACCGTTGAGTGATTAGAGTCTAGTTTTTAGGCCGTCATTTTCTAACCCGTTCGGGCGAAGGCAGCATCACTGTTTCCGGGAATATGGATATGCTGGTCGGCTGGGGCAAACACCTTACTGCCTTCCACCTCCTATCGCGGAGGACAGCACAACTTTACCCCCAGACCGCTTCGTATCACGATTACTCGTAGTACGGGGTCTCGTTGTTCTTAATCTGACTGCTCTCCTTTGGCCTTCCTGAAATGTTTGCACTCACGTCAATGTGGTAGCTTTAGGTCGCGTGAATTGTGCCTCGGCGGTGACGAAGGATTTAAATCAACCTTGGACTTGAAGATCTCTGAAACGGTGGGCTGACAGGCCCGTCCCAGGTTCCACACGTCTGAACCCAGTCTGTACTCGGTGAAGTCGGAAATACCCATTTGACGATCGACAGCGCACTTGGCAACACCGCATGCTGTCATTCTCTTTTTTCGTATTATTCATTCTGTTTTTCTGAGGTCGCTATTATCCAACGCAGTATTCACACCTGTCTTCACTTCCTTTCTAGGTCACCCAGTGCTCTCACTATTTACCGCTCCATCCGTCTCCCCTCTACGTCTTTCTGGATTGGGGTCTTTCAACTCCCGCATACGGCTCTACCGATACCGACGTTCTGACACAACTCTGCTCGGCTACAGACAATACTTTCTCAACATTTCCCAATCCTCTCCTCAGTGGCAGGTGGAATACGACACATCCGACGCTTATCTCCTGTCAGACCTCTCACCCATCGCATTAAACCGACTGTTGAATGAATTTGAGCACGACGACACCCAAGATGGCGTGTGGTCTCGATACTGGAACCACGAGCTCGGAGGACGACCACATGAGCCTAGCACGTTGATACCTGATGGTCTGTGTCCACGAGCTCAGTCGGTATGTCGGTGCGAACATCTGTGCCCGATGCGTCACGTGGATTTAACAGCCATGCAAAGTTGTCTGGACTCGTGCACACAGATCCGTCCAATCGTGCTGGTCAGCACAAACAATTCGGTGCTCGACCAGGCCAGTTCGAACAACACTGGTGAGACACATGTGAATGCACACAGCAGCTTGCCAATAATCATTGGCGTAATCATTGCATTTCTGGCCATTCTGGTTGGTGTGGTCTTGATTGTCAACCGTGAAATTTGTCGTCATCGAGGACGCCATGCTCGACGTCTGGCGGGCTCCGGCGGTACTATCGGAGGTATTGTGTTTACCACAGTCAACGGGGCATACCCGATCTCCTTAAATGGAGAGGTGGGAGGAGGTGGTAGTCCAACCGACTTCGATCATTGTAACAGTTTTGGAGGATCCTCTACAGAACTACGCACCGCGTTCCATCCACCGCACGCTATTGGTGATGACCACTCTCTGAGTACTATCCATACTGTCGATGGGACTGCGTATACTCTCCCGGTGAAAACTTCCAAATCATCGATGAAAGCTAACTTTTTCGGAAATTGTGAATACGTTACCGTTAGTAACTTTGTAAACGAGCCTACCAATGTCCACTCTTCGGTAGCCTCAGGAATCTATACAAAATCTCAGAAAGCTCGCCGACCCAACGGTATTCTGTCTCCGCCCATGGTTATTTCTCCTACCAATCGCCACTCTCATCCTCCTCACTTTTTTCATCCAGATACTACTCCTTACTTTCCACCTTTCAGTCACTCCAGCCAATTCAGTGGTAGCCGACCTACAACGAGAGAAGGTGACAGTAGTTCGTGTCAGCTGGCACCACCTTCTCGGCTAGTGTGTCCCACCGATCTGACTGCTCTCCTTTGGCCTTCCTGAAATGTTTGCACTCACGTCAATGTGGTAGCTTTAGGTCGCGTGAATTGTGCCTCGGCGGTGACGAAGGATTTAAATCAACCTTGGACTTGAAGATCTCTGAAACGGTGGGCTGACAGGCCCGTCCCAGGTTCCACACGTCTGAACCCAGTCTGTACTCGGTGAAGTCGGAAATACCCATTTGACGATCGACAGCGCACTTGGCAACACCGCATGCTGTCATTCTTTTTTTTCGTATTATTCATTCTGTTCTTCTAAGGTCGCTATTATCCAACGCAGTATTCACACCTGTCTTCACTTCCTTTCTAGGTCACCCAGTGCTCTCACTATTTACCGCTCCATCCGTCTCCCCTCTACGTCTTTCTGGATTGGGGTCTTTCAACCCCCGCATACGGCTCTACCGATACCGACGTTCTGACACAACTCTGCTCGGCTACAGACAATACTTTCTCAACATTTCCCAATCCTCTCCTCAGTGGCAGGTGGAATACGACACATCCGACGCTTATCTCCTGTCAGACCTCTCACCCATCGCATTAAACCGACTGTTGAATGAATTTGAGCACGACGACACCCAAGATGGCGTGTGGTCTCGATACTGGAACCACGAGCTCGGAGGACGACCACATGAGCCTAGCACGTTGATACCTGATGGTCTGTGTCCACGAGCTCAGTCGGTATGTCGGTGCGAACATCTGTGCCCGATGCGTCACGTGGATTTAACAGCCATGCAAAGTTGTCTGGACTCGTGCACACAGATCCGTCCAATCGTGCTGGTCAGCACAAACAATTCGGTGCTCGACCAGGCCAGTTCGAACAACACTGGTGAGACACATGTGAATGCACACAGCAGCTTGCCAATAATCATTGGCGTAATCATTGCATTTCTGGCCATTCTGGTTGGCGTGGTCTTGATTGTCAACCGTGAAATTTGTCGTCATCGAGGACGCCATGCTCGACGTCTGGCGGGCTCCGGCGGTACTATCGGAGGTATTGTGTTTACCACAGTCAACGGGGCATACCCGATCTCCTTAAATGGAGAGGTGGGAGGAGGTGGTAGTCCAACCGACTTCGATCATTGTAACAGTTTTGGAGGATCCTCTACAGAACTACGCACCGCGTTCCATCCACCGCACGCTATTGGTGATGACCACTCTCTGAGTACTATCCATACTGTCGATGGGACTGCGTATACTCTCCCGGTGAAAACTTCCAAATCATCGATGAAAGCTAACTTTTTCGGAAATTGTGAATACGTTACCGTTAGTAACTTTGTAAACGAGCCTACCAATGTCCACTCTTCGGTAGCCTCAGGAATCTATACAAAATCTCAGAAAGCTCGCCGACCCAACGGTATTCTGTCTCCGCCCATGGTTATTTCTCCTACCAATCGCCACTCTCATCCTCCTCACTTTTTTCATCCAGATACTACTCCTTACTTTCCACCTTTCAGTCACTCCAGCCAATTCAGTGGTAGCCGACCTACAACGAGAGAAGGTGACAGTAGTTCGTGTCAGCTGGCACCACCTTCTCGGCTAGTGTGTCCCACCGAAGATTACTATGCTGATGATGAGGAGGGTCCGGAAGCGATCCACGATACGGCGGCTGCTGTTGTTGATGAATGTGAATCGTTTTCGGACGATGAAGAGGATGACGTTGAGCCGTTCGATGATGGGAATAAACCCTTTCGGTTAGACCGGACCTGTGTTCCGTCCGGCAAACGTAGACTTTCACGTGATTGGAAGTTTACAAAGCGACAGAGTATGCAGTCTTATGGTGACCCATTTAGTCCACGTAAGCATCTCCGTGTTTCACGAGGTTCTGAGCCCAACATTCAACACAGTCATTCTGCGGTCCTCAACGGTCTAACTGAATTGGCAAACTCCGTTCCACATTCTCACTCAGTAACACCGTACGCAACTCAATCGCCACCTCACAATTTGACGAACGGACAGTCAGAGGTCCCTGGCCGTACCCAACAGCCTATCCTCGGGAACAGTGTTCTTCCGTCCGCCGTCGAACTGAAAATTACCGGCGGTCAACATGCACACGAAGTCGCACAAAGCTTGACACGTGAGCAAGCTGGCTATGAATACGTGAGAATATGATCGATCGTGGCCCGTTTCTCATTCAGCTTCTTTCTCGTACGCTCGTTTTCCACCGGCATGGTGGCTCAGGACCGTAAACTGAGATATTCTATACAGAATGAACAATTTCTGGCTTCATCGAATCTAACATCATAGTCTTTCCGTGCACCGTCATTCTTATCTGCTGACCCACTCCGCCCCGTCCCATTCTGGAACATCCGACTATGTTTAGTGAAGCACTGGTCAGATTACCATATCCTTCGTTTATCCGGATCACATAGGCTCGGAAGATGCATCATCTGGCTTCTGTGGCCCCCCCCCCCTACCACAAATTATGATTTTCTCATCAGTGTACGTTTTGTAGTTCAAACTAGCTAGTCCGAACCCGTTTGTTGCTTTTCATCCATGTTATTCATTCTGCTTCAGACAATAGCTGTTCTCACATTCAGATGTGAGTTTAGTTTGTCGATTGTGACTGGCCAAACTCACCTCCATATCTGCCCATGTGACGACTACTCTGCTAGGCCATACGCGCCTCTCCACTTTCATGTTTTTATTGGGTCTCTCGCTCACCACCCATTCACGGACGCTGTGTGTGTTTTAGTAACCCTTTTACTACTATTGAGATTGTCACAATTCCATGACTTTCTTCCGGCTCTGGCCTTTGTCGCCATGCTCCACTTCTGCAACCTGTTCCGGTGCCTTCAGAAGAACTTTGATCATCCTCGAGCAGGTGATCCTATTTCTTTTCTGTGTACATGATTGTGTGAATGTGACAAGCTGCATTCCTGCAAACCCGTCCGCGGTTTTCTTGGGTAACCACTTTGTCTCCTCGTTCCTTCCTCTTCCTACTCCTCCTCGTCATCCCCCTCCAACGCCTAGACTATCTCGTTTTGGATGTCACTGTTTTGTCACTCTGTTTTACCAGTGCCTTTACTTTTTCTTAATTGCTTTCAGTTAACGCGCCCGTTTCCTCCAAACCTCACCGCGGGATCGGAGATTGTCAGTTGTTGTACAAACAAACAAACAAAAAACAGCAAACTCAACAGCATCTACACACATTCAATTCTGACTTGTGTTGCTACTGATGGTGGTCGGCTTTGAGCGGGTCAGGAATAGCTAATTCTAGTGTCAGTGCCACTACTATTCTGAGCTTTTGGTTGTTGTTTTTTCGGAGTATCAAGCACAGGATCTTCGTAACCTGGCCCTTAAAAGAGCTTCTTCTCGGGGGATTGAGCAAGTGTCTTTTCCCCGTTGGGAAAACCGTATTGTTTGGAAAGAAGTGTGTGGTAGGCTGCGCATGCTGAAACACTGTCTCCCGAGATGGATATTGCTCTCGGATAAACGTATCACTTGGCAGAAGGGTGTGAAAGAGATCGCGAACAGTTTGGGTGTTGTTGGTGCCTTCCAGGTTGGAGTCCCCGTGACCCCTCCTGCACTTGGCTGGCGACATTGCAAGAAATGCCGGCTGACTGATGTCAGTTTCCAGATTTTCTGATTGAATGTTTAGAGGCTTAAACACCTCATAATGTCTGATATAGGCCAGCACCGGGTCCCCCCTCTCCCTCACTCTTTTCATTCTAAGGCTTTGGATATGACGGGATTGTACCGCGGTGGAGCATCAGTGTGTCAACACTGCCTCTGATGATGAAAAGAGGTGGGTAATTGCCGTGCTGCTTCCGCACGCCAAGCGCTGTATACCACGAGCTAGTTTGTTTCCGGTGAAGGTGATGCAGGAGGAATGTATGCGCTACAAAAGCTGTAGCACCCTTCCGGTGCATACCTGCCATGCTACCCGAAGGAAGCACGAGGGCTGGGATACTGCCAGGTTGCCAAAGCCTAGACAGGGGAAGGCGAGTGGCGGAGGTCGGA